AACCAAGGAAAAATACTCTGGCCATCCTTAATTCTCTTTATTTTCCAAGGCCGAAAAAAAAGTCCGAGAGGGAAGGGCAGAATCTCTGTAATTCTATGTTATCAGATGATCTTTTCCCATCATTGTGAAGAACAATTATTCCTGACTGCTGAGGAGGTCAATTAACAAACATTTTTCAGGAAAGCAGCAAGAGAAAGAAGGGGAAATACATTCCATATGGATGGCTACTGTTTTACCTTTCCCACCTAATTCATTTTTTAATCGGCATGCCTCTAAATTGGCCTACTGGGACTGCAAAGATCTTTCTATACACAGTAGAAAGATTAGATTTCTATTAGGTTAGGTCATTTGAAGGTTAAAGGATATAGGGTTTTATTAGGTACAGAAATCGGTATTTTTCTGAAACTGGGACAATTTTTTTGCATCTTGATACCATGGTGTGTGTGTATTGACATATATATGCATACAGACACACACACACACATACACAACCACACTTGACAGTGCAATGATAAAGCTATTGTATAGTCTATTGTTGGCTGTAGAGTGATGATGGAACCTCCAAGAACAGTGTTTCCAAATTTCTTGTTCTCCAAATATGTTAGGAAAGAACATGACAAGATTTGCAATGGTGGCCTGATAATATATTTCACTGTACTTATTTTATTTATTTATTTTATTTATTGGAATTTTTCAAACAATAATGAGAACAAGATAAGAGAATAAAAATACAACAGGAACAATAGGCACGTTAGTGCACTTATGCATTCCCCCCCTACGGACCTCTTAAGTATCAAGTAAGGTCCACGGAAGTCAATTTGTGACTAAAACTGTGAAAATTTGTAGCTGAGACAACTGAATCAGGTAGGGCATTCCAGACTTTGACAACTCTATTACAGAAATCGTATTTTTTACAGTCAAGTTTAGAACGATTTATATTGAGTTTAAAGCGGTTGTTTGCATGCCTATTATTGCGATTAAAACAGAAAAAGTCATTTACAGGTAAAACATTACTACGTATAATTTTGTATGCAATACCTAGGTCTGACCGCAAGTGACACAGTTCTAAGTGATCCAAACCGAGAATTTTGAGCCTAGTAGCATAAGGAATTCTATTGTGTACAGAAGAGTGCTAGACTTTTTTCGTGAAGTACTTCTGAACCCGCTCAATTGTACTGATGTCAGATATATGGTAGGGATTCCAAACAGTTGAACAATACTCTAAAATTGGTCTAGCATAAGTTTTATAATTAGCAATACGTTTCCAGAAAAAAAGGTTCGCAAAATTAAGTTTACAACTCTTAATGCTTTTAGCAACGCTGTTACAGTGAGCTTTGGAGCATAAATCGTCAGAGATAAGTACACCTAGGTCCTTAACAAAATGAGGGTCATCTGCTAGATCAATGCCACCTAGCATATACTTGACATTTTGATAACGTTTACCAATATGAAAGACAGAGCATTTATTAAAAGAGCCTTGATAGTACAGTGGTTTAATGCACCCTGTTATTAACACAGCTGCCTGCAATTTCTGCTGGTTCGAATCTCTCCAAGGCTCAAGGTTGACTCAGCCTTCCATCCTTTCTAAGGTAGGTGAAATGAGGACCCAGTTTGTGGGGGCAATAAGCTGACTTTGTATAAAATATACAAAAGAATGAAGGCTATTGCTTAACGCATTGTAAGCCGCCCTGAGTCTCCGGAGAAGGGCGGCATATAAATCAAATTAAAAAAAAAATATTAATCGAAATTTGAACTTGCCAAATAGATGACCCATTCAGACACATAGTCGAGATCACTTTGCAAAACAACAAAATTATCTGTTATACTTGCTGAGAATTATACTTCCTGAGAATTCTAAGACCCCAATAAATCTAAAAGGCTGGTGATTGGAGAAAGCTGGTTTGGAAGATGAGTAGGGGAAACTAATTGTCGGGGAATTAGTGAGAGCCTAAAAGAGGTAATAGTTTATTCTATTTTATATTACATACACTCTGCAACTCTGTACTGCTTTATACTACATGCACTTTGTTTCTCAACCTTGGTAACGTGTGGACTTCAACTCCCAGAATTCTGTAGTCTGCCTGACTGGGGAATTTTGAGAGTTGAAGTCCATACATGTTAAAGTTAGTGAGGTAGAATCAGAGGTAGGCGGCACATGAATTAATAACTGGTTTGCCCCAGCACCGAAAATGTGAGCGCGCAGGATGGGACAATGTAATTGGAATGAGATGGTTCATCAGGTAACTTAGCCCCATTCCACAAAGGACTTTAAAGGTGATAACCGTTGCCTTGAATTAGAACTGGAAGCAAACTGGCACCCAATGCCACTCGCGTAGCAGAGGTGTTATTTGTGCAATCCTAGGAATGCCCAAGATTGCTCACACTGCTACATTCTGCACCAATTGCAACTTCTGGATAGTCTTCAAGAGCAGCCCCATTTAGTACACATTGCAAAAGTCCATTCAGGGGATGAGTAGGATATGAGTGACTAAAAGGAGAGTTTCTCAAATCAGGGAAAGGCGTAACTGGTGCACAAGATGAAGTTGAGCAAAGGCCCTCCTAACCATGACTGCCATTTGCTCTTTGAGCAAGAGTTGTGAGTTCAAGAGGACCCCCAGATTACACATCAGGTCTATCTGACGCTGTGTAACCCCATCTAAAAACAAAGATCATAAACTTCCAGTTTATAAAAGAGCCCTCTCCCACAGCCAGTCCATCTTACCAGGGTTCAGTTTAAGCCTATTGTTCCCCAACCCAGACCCTCACAGCCTCCAAGTACTGCAAAAGGGCATCCACAGCATCACTTACTTTAGCCAGGATGAAGATATATACCTTGGTTTAACCAGCATGACTAGTATGCTGGTTAAACCAAGGTATATATCTTCATCCTTATACTGGTTATACTGGTCATGCCTTATTTTGTGGCAATGTATGATCTTATCTGATGGCTTCATGTAGATATTAAGCACCGAGCCCTGCAGCATCGCATAGAACAGGGTTAGAATTCTTGCTCTCTGACAACACCAACTGGGACTGTCCCAAAAGAAGGAGGTGAACCAGCAGAAAACTGTGCCCCATTTCAAACTGGTGAAGCCCGCCCAAAACAATATGTTTGGTGATATCAAAAGTCACCAAGTGGTCAAGAAGAGCCAAGATGGATGCACTGTTCCCATAATGCTCCTGCCAGAGATCACTCAAAAGCGTGACCGATGCTGTTTCCATCCCGTATCTGCGACTGAAACCTGACTGGCAGGGGTCCAAATAATCTGTTTTACCAGGATCCTCTGGAGCTGCAGAAGCACTGCCTTCTCAATCACCTTCCCTAAGAGGGAAACATGGGAGACTGAACAAAAATGAAGAATGGTAGGGTCCAGTGATGACTTCTTGAGAAGAGGATATACCAGTGGCTCTTTAAATGAAGCTTAACATCCTCTCACTAAGGCTGCATTAACCATCACTAGATCCACCTGCATGTCATCTCCTGAGCGACCTCTACCTGCCAGGAGAGGTATGGATCCAAATCCAAGGTGACTACACTTATAATCCCAAGAACCCAACCACTTTTCTCAGGTCCAACAAGATCAAACTTTTCCCAGATAACTGGGTAAGAAATTCCCAAGGTATCTCCAATGGACTTGCTCCATGTTTGATTTCTAATTGAGAATGGATTTGAGTTATTTTATCCAGTAGGTGCATTGTGAATTCTTCAGCTCAACCTTGAAGATGAACCTCAGAATCCTCTTTACTCAAAAGACAATAAGTGACCCTAAACAGGGCCACTGATGGTGCTTTGCAGATGCAGGAAGAGCAGAGAAAAACTGACATTTCTTCATTCTTAATGCTATGAGGTAATTCTTAATAGCAGCTCTAATTTATAATCAATCAAATTCATCTCTTGTCTTCCTGCATTGAGGAACATATTGAAGCCTCTTTGTTTCTTTTTAAATTAAAATATTCTGGCTGATTTGGAGTTGATTGGTAGACATCTGTTCAAGCCCATTGATTTCACATTCAATATGGCACTGGCTATATATTGCTTTACCAAACTATAAGAATACATCTATTCTGAACAATAAATACAGCAACTATCACATCAAAAACACATTACATTTATCAATTTTTCTTGCACTGTTATTATAGCAGGATAATTCATGGCCACCATTTGCAACCAAAAACTGAAATTCATATATACATATATTAGCTTCCATAGCTAATTCTTTGTCATGAACCAGGTAATTATTTCATTTATTATATAAATTTAACCTCATATTACCATATTTTTCAGAGTTAAGATGCACTTCCCCCCCCCAAAAGAGGGTGAAAATTTGGGTGCGTCTAATACACTGAATGTAGCCCCGCCCACCCGCCAGCCCCCACCCTTTGGTCTCTGCCTCCCAGCAATTTGCTGTCTTGCAGCAAACAGCAAACAGCCCGTTTCAGTTTCAGCTTCAGCACAGTCTGATTAGCACAAGCAGCTGATTGTCGGTTGGATCGGCCTCCCAACCATCAGCTGTTTCAGGCTGCATTGCCTTTTGCCTCCTCCACGCACCCCACTTTCGGCCTCCGCTTTTTTCTGCAAGGAGGCAAATTGCTGGGAGGCAGAGGAAGATTTTTTCTTGTTTTCCTCCCCAAAAAAGGTAGGTACGTCTTTAATTTTATATGGTAGTTAATGGGTCAGAGTAAAACTATATTAGAAATCTTTTAGTAATTTTTGAGAATGAACTAAATATCTGGAGATGAACATTCAAAACTATTGCCAATATAGGTTCCATAGTTATGTACTGACAGAAGTAACACTAACTTAGAAGAAAGTTGAGTTTGAAGCTACTAGCAAGTTATATGAAGAAACAAATGTTATATGAAGAAAAGTTATGTTACAGAAACAAATGCTCTGTTTAAAAAAGATATGGCAAATACAAAGAGAAAGTTGTAGTTTCTATTGAGTTATTCTGTTAATTCATATGAGCCATTCACAGAGAACATTCTCTGTCCACACTTACCTGACCTAGAGATGGAAGAGTTCCATAAGCTACTGGCTGGTTCATCATTCCTTTCTGCTTCAAAATAAGCATGCGCTTCTGCTCCTCACTCAAAGGTGTCATTTGAGTCTGAATTGGTGGCTGTTGAGGAATCTGTTGCTGTTGTTGCTGCATATAGGGCATCATAGGACTCTTGTTGGAATTGGACATTGGTGGAGTCATCCTTTGACTAAGATCGGCATTGAAATGAGACAGAGGTTTAGTGTTGCCATAAGAAAGCATATTGCCTTGTTTGCTCAAAGAGGTTGTACCCAGATTATTTGGCTGCTGACTAATCATATTGATATGGTTTTGAGGGAGGTAGTTATTTATTGCAGTCTTTTGTGAGTTGTTTGCCGTGGGAGGCACTGCAGGATTTTGGTTGTTAAAGGCTTGGGGGTACATCATCGGGCTATTTGGTTTATCTGTACTGAAAGGTCCTCCATAAGGACTAGATGGAGGCCCCACTGGCGACCAGCTAGATACTTGGTTTGGATGCTGTGGCGGCGGTTGCTGTTTCTGCTGCATCAGCTTAGCCCGCTGTTGCTGCTGGGCTGCCATCTGCTTCAACTGCTCAGCTGGAGACAAGTCAGTGCTAGTCACAGTTACTTGGCTAGGCCCTGGGCCTGCTGTTGTCACTGTCGTTGGATTCATGTGGAAACTATTGCCTGGTCGTGACTGAGTTTGGTTTGAAGGATGTGCTTGGTTGGGAGTCTGAGGGGACTGAACCACACAGTTTGCTAGTGAACTATCCAGGCTTGGAGCCGGAGGACAATTAGAGCCTGAAGAGAGACTGGAACCCGTAGGGATATTTGAAAATGGAGGCCCTGATGATGACGGTCTTACCTGGGGAGAGCCTGTTGGTAAGTGAGCAAATGGAGAGTGACATGGATCACTTTTAACACTGGCAATCTCCTGAATCTCAGTGGCTGGTCTCGGAAATTCAGGTTCCTTTTTCTCTTCAAAATCTTCATTGAACAAATCTTGTATATCATCTTCTGGAACAGTGTTAGCTAGCTCATCTATTAATTCCTGCCACTCCTGATCATTCAGGTTAATGTCTGAAAAGAGTTTATTCTGATTGGAAAGGGATGTGTCAGAATTGTCAGTGCAGTTGGGATCATCCAAGGGTTCTTGTTTCAGTTCTTTGTTGCTGCTACTATTGTTGTGCAGAATGTTAAAACTATCTTCAAGCTCGGTACATCCATTGATTGGGAGTTTTAGGTCAGAAAGTCCACCATTTTTACCTAGGTCTTCCAGGGTACCCTCATGAGTTCCACTGTTTTGTAGGGGCAAAGATGGCTTTAGGTCAAGCTGGTGAAGAGGAGAAATAGAAGACAAAGGCAAACTGTTTGGCAAACTATTGACTCTCTCAATCCCAGGTACATCTTTCCGTATCCGCTTATTAGTTGGAGAGAAGCTTCTGTCACAGACACCATTCTGCTGTTCTCCGTTGAGGGGTGATCGTGCTCCTTCTAATTTTCTCTTCACCGTCTCTTGAAGCTTGAACAGAAAAGAAAAAGATATTAATTCAACATTTGTACATTTCTACCGTTTATAAATCAACATAACTCTATACAGGAAGTTTTACTAATTTATTATGATTCATAAAGACTATGTTGTTTCAAAACATTCTGGGTTGGATTTCTGGACATTACTTATTGGAATAATACAAAACTTTAGAGACACAATTTCTTCTCACAGATGGTTGTGTATCATTGGATGTGTATCAACATTACAGCTCAGCTGTAAGATATTCTAACATATTAACCAGAATGCAGTGGTAGACTGGAATGGAGCCACTATTTCAATGAGTGGTCATATTTCAAACACTAAAAAATTACCATATCTAGTACCAGCATACATGACTGAAAGGTTTATCCTAGCCATCTCCATAATATATCCATTTGCTATGTAAGTAGGAAACTTCCAGAAAGCAGCGTTACGTAGCTCTCCCACATGCTATGTAAAGAGGCACTGTTGAAAATTTCCCATTGCACTTTAATTTCAGGAGTTTTTATACCAAGGCTTTTAAAAATACACTATTATAACACCACAATTATCTGTTTTGCCACATGTTGCTAGGTGAAACCAATAAACAAAATTAAACAAATAGTCCTCAGCACAACAGTTGTTACTTAAGAAGCATTTTTCCTACTTCAGCTTGCAAGAAAATCTAGTGATTTCTGCCAACAGACTTTTCTTTTCATTATATACTGTACATACTTTACATCAGTTATAATATATAGACCATAATGGAACATTTCCCAAGATAATGCATTGAAAAATCAAGGCAAGTACTTACTATATTGAATAAATGGCACAGCCAATCGTTTACTAATAAAAATGCGCAGACCATCTCAGCCAAATTAATCTGGATGAGAAAAAGCAGCTAGGATAAGGTAGGCCATATTGCCATTTCTCCCCAATGCAACCTACCCTTCAGATGGGGTTTATATTGATTGTTTCTTCTCCTTTCAAATGCATGATAGACAGAAAAGTACTTCTTGGGATCTTCAGTTCAAGAGTGCAGGTTTTATGTAAGAGGTTCACTGAAAGATGCAGTTCCCATCCCTTTATTTTATGTAATCTCACCATACTATCATCTGAACATTCAGTAAATTATCAATCAATACTGTAGTGCCTCTGAGCAATGTGGTAAATGCCCAGGTAATGCCCAGGAGATCACACAATTATTTTTTTATTTAAAAATATATAATTGAATAACAGTGACGAATCTCAGAGCCCTTTTTTGTTCCCATTTGAAATGGGGCCTCATTAGTACTGGATGGCATACCTCAAGAAAATGTTAATGCTACAGGCTTGATGAAAAAGTTATTATTATTTATTATTACTTGAATTTATACACCGTCCATCTGGCCGTTTGAGGTGACTTTGGGCAGTTTACAATATAATATAATATATATATACATATAGCAACCATTATACATATAAAAACAGATTAGAATTACAAAAGATTAAATACAAAATAAAAGACCTCAAATTTAGAGCAGAGTGGCAATGGTGCATTCTCTGTCACTGCACCAACCACCTCTAGCCTATAGCCATCAGAGCTCCATGCCAACCAGCAGAGCCAGATTTTAAGGCTTTTCCTAAAGACCAAAAGGATGGGGGCAGATCTCATCTCTGGCAGTAAGATGTTTCAAGGGTGGGGGGACAGGGGTGAAATCCAGCAGGTTCTGACAGGTTCTGGGGAGCCGGTAGCGAAAATTTAGAGCAGTTTGGAGAACTGGCAAATATCACATCTGGCTGGCCCCAGAGTGGGGTGGGAATGGAGATTTTGCAATATCCTTCCCTTGAGTGGGGTGAGAATGGAGATTTTGCAGTATCCTTCCCCTGCCATGCCCACCAAGCCACACACGGCCACAGAATCGGTAGTAAAAAAATTTGGATTTCACCACTGGGGCAGGGGCGGGGGGGGCATGGCTTTTCTCCAGCCAAAACTCCTTTGTTGATGGGGACCGCCATAGGCCCTTTCTGCCAGAAATGGTGTGGCTGGCAAATCCCATTGGGGAAAGACAGTTCCTCAGATATCCCAGACCCATGCCATAAAGAGCTTTAAAGATGATGGCTAACACCTTGGACCTGGAAACAGATCAGCAGCCAGTGACAGTGGTGCTACATGTGCCACCCCAGGTGCTTCCAGAACTATTCACACTGTTGTACTCTGGACCAACTGTAGTTTCTGAATACTCTTCAAGATAGCCCTATGTAGTGTGCATTATCCAAATAAGAGATGACCAGGGTATGAGTCACTCAGTGCAAACCAGCAGCTTTAAAAAACAGAATTTTGCTGTTAATTTTAGTGGAGGACTCCTAGGTTGCTGAGACCTGCAGGAAGCACAAGGTCTGTAAATGACTACAACTGCTTTAAATGAAGAAACAAGACAAGAAAACTGCAGCAGTTAATTTCAAAGATTCCCAGAATTCTTAGTTTTAATTCCCTACATATTATTTTTTTTCAGCTTTCTTCAATCTGGGACTCTTCAGGTTAATTAGTAAATTAACAACTTCCATAATCCTCATCCAACATGACATAGCAGAAAACATATTGCATGACACCAGGTCCTTTTATAAACTACATAACACCAGGTAAAATCAACATGTTTGTTGTATACTTGTCTGAAGTGAATCTACAAAAATGGAAAAATCTGTTATAAGTAATGTAATAGACCATAAACCTAGATTTAATTAATGCACTTTTTTGCTAGTGTAGATAAAAAGACACTAAAAAGACACATTATAAGAAATAAACTTCAGTGATCATAGAAAACAACATTAAGAATTTTACAGATATAAATATAATATATATATATAATATTTTTAGATATATGGAAGTATATATATAAATATATTATATATATATATTATGCTTATAGGTAGCATATATTATGTCCTGGTCTTTGGTTATTCGCCTTCTCCCACGTAAACTTTGTGGAGTGTCTTGGCGACGTTTGCTCCTGGAAGCACGAAGCCGAGAACACCAGCCTGAAGATGACGAAAATGAGACTTAGTCGAAACGTCGCCAAGACACTTCCAATTTTACGTGGGAGAAGACCCGGAAATAAAGGGAGACTGGTATAGATCTATTTCAAGCTTCTTACCCCTCATCAGCCAGCCTTACCCTTACTTGGATTCGAACCTGGCAGAATGCTCTCTCCCACATGTTGGAGTAGACCAGGTGTCTCGGTAAAACACTTATATATATATATTCCATATACACATACATACATATATACATACATACATATATATATATTCCAATTCTTAAGATATATAGTTTGATAAAAAAGCCTCTTGCATATTAATGCACTATAACAAAAATTATACTGAAAAATTGCAAACAAACAAACAAAAAGTGTTTAGGCCTACATGTATATAAATTTACTTTTTCAGCATTTAGGAAGACTGTTTTTTCCATCATAGGAATGCACTAGAGGTGTTAGGAGGCCTTCAGAATGTAACTGATTAAGGTCTTTCCAATTTCAGGCAACAGGTAAGCTGCCCAGGGTACTAATCAACTAATTAAGGTCATAGAGCTGAGCTTGTTAATTTGTGGTTAGCACTTAATAGGGAAGCGATGGGCCCTGGAGAAAACTGCTCAGGAAGAGATAACTTGTTAAGATACTAAAAAAACCGCACAATATTTGATTTTAGGGCTATGTCTGCTGGATGGAAGACAAAATCAGGGATATATCTTCCTTTTGCTGGACATCTGGTAAATGCTACTTCAGAGACAGGAAAAAGAGTTCAGGCTTTTAAAAATTCTTCTTGTATTGTGCTAATATTTCATTTGTGGATATGATTAAGTTAGTTTATGTCAGTTCCAAAGACACAAAATTCATCTGATGATGTAAAGAACAAAGATATTGCATTGCATTGCATTGCATTGCATTGCATTGCATTGCATTGCATTGCATTGCATTCTATTCTATTCTATTCTATTCTATTCTATTCTATTCTATTCTATTCTATTCTATTCTATTCTATTCTATTGTCATCATGAGCAATATTGCCAGAACTACTACATTCCAAAAAATATATAGAAATTAACTTGAATGAGAATATGCTGAAATTCATTGGAATTGTAGTGTCTAAAATGAATGCACAGCCATTAGCATGATTCAGTGACTTCTTAAGTTACATTTAGAGGACATTTATTGCTCCCCAAAGATAGGTAAAACTTTAGAATAATACAATACACCTACTTTCTTAAACTTATACAATATCCCCAAAGAAATGGCATATAGACACTTGGAAATATGATAAAACAACCTTTTCCTGGCCCAGAAAGTCAGATTATAGAGGATCACTAGTTTATCAAGAATTTTATTCCAAAATGTAACATCACAAACATCTAAATTTAATTTCATGTATATTTAAACTTAAGTATGATTCAATATGATATGGTGAGTCCCCGACTTGCAACACAATTGGGACCAAGATTTCCAATATTAAGCAAAATGGTTGCTAAGTAAGTCAACAATTTACAATATTTTTTGCCATGATTGCTAAACAAATCCCTGCAGTTGTTAAGTAAAACTTGTGGTTGTTAAAACTAATCCAGCTTCCCCCATTGACTTTGCTTGTCGTAAGCTGTCTGGAAAAACTGCAAATAGCAATCACATGACCTGGAATACTGCAACCATTATAACTATATGCTAGTTGCCAAGTGTCTGAATTTTGATCATGTGACCGCAGGGATGCTGCGACGGTCATAAATCACTTTTTTCAATGCTGTTGTAACCTCGAATAGTTGTTAAATGAATGATTGCAAGTCAAGGACATTCCTCAATTAGGCATTTAATTCTTTGCCCCTTCCACCATTGCAATTAAGGTATAATTTTTGGAAGTCCCTAAGGCAGTGGTTCTCAACCTTGGATTGCCCACCTATACCCTACATATCCAGGAATAACTCATCTTAAAATTCCTGAAAGGAGTGCAATGGCCAGACCACAGAGTACTGTATCTGCTACCTAAAC